GTATGGGACATTTCCAGATTGGCAGAAAATCCTGTCAACTATGCTCTGATAGAGCAGGAGACAGTAGGAAACAGGACCTAGAGAGACCCAGTGCTGCCATCTCCAGAGGTACAAATCCTCTCCAGAAGTTAAATAATTGACTATACTTTTTGTAGGACCTACTAAATGTCAGACACTGTCCCAGAGAAAGGGGACCACAATAGTGGCACATCTCATGAATTCCATTTTTTTTTTTTACCATAAATTGGGTAGGGTTGAAGGGAATCGATTTTCTTTTTTTTCTCTTCTTTTTAAAATTTTTTTTTAAATTATTTATTTTTGGGGGGTCATACCTGGCGATGCACAGGGGTTACTCCTGGCTCTGCACTCAGGAATCACCCCTGGCGGTGCCTAGGGGACCATATGGGATGCCAGGAATCAAACCCGGGTCAGCCGCGTGCAAGGCAAATGCCTTACCCGTTGTGCTATTACTCTAGCCCCATCTCATGAATTGTTGGGTTCACTCCCTTGTAGGGGCATGTCAGGGTTCAAACTAGAGAAAACAGATAAGCAGATGCATCAATTATGAAAACCACAGGAAGGAAGGATGAAGGGCAGGCATACCGGGGGCACTGTTGAATAGAAACTGGTAAGGGGTTAAGAGTGAAAGGATCAAAGAGCAGAAATGAAGGCTGGGACAAGTCTCCACGAAGCCCGAATTTAATGTGGCAGAAAATGAGTATGTCATTTAAGCATTTTAAGCAGGAAAGTTAACTTGATCCAATTTGGCCTTGGGAAGGGTAATTCCAACAGTGCAATGGGGGACAGACTGAAGGGAAAGGAACTTCTAACAGGGAACTAGCAAGCCACTCTGGCCAGCTATGAGAGCGGGGTGAAGAGTGGCAAAGTGAGGGAGGAAGAGCTCACTCATCCCAATGCTGAATCGGAAGTTGAAAGGCCTGGTCCCAGGGAACGGGAAGGTGGGCTTGAGGGGGAAAGGATGTATCCAAGCCAGTGTGTGATCCTTGGACAGTCTGTGACCAACTCTGGGGTTCTTCCCCCAGCCTCGCTCCAGGGACCACATTAGGTGATTAATTCATGGCCAAGTTACTTTCTGATGAAGGTTACTACAGATACATCAGTGTGACAGGTTGGGTGTGGGAGAAGAGGCTGCTGCATGCTTCAGTCGGAGCTGAATATTAGATTCAAGTCACTATTTGATTGATCTTTTAAGCAATTCTGGGATTCTGTCACTTAAAAACCAATAAATCTTTGAAGGCCCGGGGAAAGCAATGCAAAAGCAATAAATCTCCATTGTGGAGTATTAGAAAAATAGGCCAAGCTGCCGGGGTGGTTGGCAGGAGGGATGAGGGTGCAGGCGCCAGGCTGGTGATCCTGTCTCCGTGCCCCCATCACGGACCCATAGGCTGCAGTGGGACAGTGAATGGAGAGCAGGGACTAGCGTTCAACTCCTCCAAGTCAAGAGCCCAGCTGGCAGATGGATGAGCCTCCGCAGGTAGGCTCTGCAGACAGAGGCTCCACTAAGTTTGAGAATAGGAAGCAACCTTGAAAGAAAGGCAGGGAGGATTTGGAGTAGAGGGTGTATATCACAAGTTACAGGCTGGGACCACACAACCCAGCACTGGAGAATCTCTGGGAAATCATTGTGCCTACCCTGCCAGTTCCCTGCCGATGGAGGTCCATTCTGTGGCATCCCACCTGCAACCTAGCCATCACAACATCTTCCCCACTACCGGGTGTAAGGGTGTGCAGAGCTGTGGGGGAACCCTGAGCCCAGAGGCAGGAAGTTAGATCCATCTGTAAAGAGTTCAATGACCTTGGGCCAACCATGTGCATCTTAGACTTCAGATTTCCCTGCTCAGAGGGAGACGGCATTTCTCATCTGGATTATTCACCAAGTATGCGACCGTCGGAGAAGCAATGAAGCAAAGGAGTTCTTTAGTACAAAACAGGATCCTGATCCCAAGCCATTCCACGATCTCTCTGTGCCTTTGCTGTTTTCTGGGGGCTATAGCTTCTCCCTGCTTATAGGACTCCCACCTAAGGCTGCATGGTTGGGTGCTGCCCCTCTTTCCAACCAGACACACCCTTTCACTGTCAATCTAGCCACCATCCCTGGGGCTCCCCGCTATCCTGTTTGCTCACTTGATTAACGTCCCACCACTCTGACCCAGTTAATGCACAATTACTGAGCCTAACCCTCCAGGGGTCAAGCATGTGGCTATCTTGCTCCCTGCTATTTCCCCTTGACTTAGCTAGTTCCTGGGACAGAGCAAATATTTAATCACTCTCTGCTGAATGATCTGGAGGTCAGTTGTCCCAACTGGCATTGTGGCGATTGTGAAAGTCTCATAGGGGGCAGTGGGAAGTGTCTCTGCCTTCTTGGCAGATGTCCAAGCAACTGTCTGAAAATAATTTCAGAAACAGAGCACGGACTCACCCTCCATGGTCTGGGGCCACAGAAAGAAAAGCAGTCAGACATTTCCACACGCCAAGCGTTGCCCCCTCTGAGCAGTGACATTTATTTAAATCTTTTTTTTTTTTTCTGATGGAAATGTCACCAAAATATACCACATACATCTTTCTCCTAGGAGTGGCGTGGTAAAGTAAAATGAGTGCTGGCTTGGGGTCAGCCCTGTCGGGTTTCAAATTCTTCTGGAACCACTTGCTTGTTTCCTGGCCTGGAAAAAACTCACTTAGATTCTATTTTGTTCAGTTTACATATCTGTGAAGTGGAAAGACAAAGTCCTTGCTGTATGTAATGAGAGGTAGGGGCAGGGGCACGACTGTCACATCGAACCTTGAAGATCTCTTAACCTAAGTCATAGGAAACCAATGTCACATGAGGGTGTTTAAAGAAGCTCCTATAGCAAGTTTGGGAACACAAATTCTTGCCAGATAATAGCTCAAAGATTATATATTGGACCTGAGAGTTACCATTTGTGTTCAAAAACTTGACAGAATTTTTTTACTTCAGGATAGCAGATCCAGCAAGTCCACCAAACTGTTCGCATAGGAACTTCACAGGCCAGCTTCTTGGTGGGTAAGGAAAGGATATGAGTTTGTTGGCACTAAATCTTGGTTCAAACCCTGTCCCAATATTGCTGCATGACACAGGAAAGATACATAAGCTCCTGAAGCTCCATTTTCATTATCCAGAAAATACAGGTGGTAGCTGTGTCTTAGACATGGACAGGGCCTAGGTAGGTATTGACCAAAACAGGTTAGGCTGTTTTTGGGTGCTTTGGCCAGCTTGGCTTCTCAGAAAGGTTTGGGAGATTCTCTCTCTTTCTTCATATCTGTCTGGCTCTTAGTTTCTATCAATAAGAGCTATTTTGCTTCAAAAACATCTGGCAAGCTCTCTAATATTAGCAAACAGTGACTAAAGTCTCTGGAGGCAAGAGGAAAGATATATGAAAGGAAGACAGGATCAACAGCCAGAATTAAACCCAGTATTTGACCCCTGGAGGCCCTACATTCAAACTCAGCTTTCTTCCTTCTTCTCTGGGTGCCACTGCAAAATTTCTGAGCCTCATCCAGCAGCTGAGGATGAAGATAATAATATCTCAGAATAGAGGGTAGACTGCCTGACAATGTGGCACATGTATAACAGGAGCAAAAGCAGCTCATCATTGAGTAACTCAATAATAATATATTGGATTTGAGAGTTACCATCTACCTTAGCCCACTACAGGTAAAAGAGCTTTTCAGAATAGTCTATGTGTAGAATCAAGGCAAGTATTCTATGGTCAGATGCCTCATCAAAACTATATACCCTTGTAAGACTTGAACACTTGCCCGATACATGGCAAAACGTGATTCAGTTCTCAGAATACAGGGCAACTTAAACTAGTTAGTACCCACTCCACTATCTATAACTCATGGGTAGAACTGGATCAAGTTTGGGGGAAAAATTAGACCATCACAATTGTTTTCTTCCTGTCTGGTCTCCCAATTTCAGTATAAGCAAAAAAGTACCATGCATGTGGAAATCAAGTTGTTCGCCAGGGTCTGCCAATTAAGCAGGTACCTTAAACGTGACTTTGACAAACATAACCACTCCCATTTCTCCCCATGACAACTGACTGCTCTTCTCCATGCTTTCGCTCATTCTAAACCCTCTTCAAATTTAGGAAAAATCATATGCAACATATCCCATATCACTCAGGGTCACCTATTTGAGAATTCTCTCCTCTGGCTTCTCAAAATGACCGATGATACCTCCATAAGCATGCATTCCATTCTAATTATGTTTTCACTTTTCCATTTCCTGAAATCAAGTTTGGCTTTCCTTCGAATAAGACTTTTTCTCAGCCACATCCTGACCATATTCCAAGCAGTAAAACAATGCCTGAAGTGAGTGCTCTAAAAAGTGTTTGCTGAATGATGAAATGAAGCCTTTTCACCCCATGTCCTGGCCCATTCATTTCTGGCATGTCAACTACTCTATGAATGTTTATTGAACTGAACTGAGCTCATATGAAAGCTATTTTCCCCACACTCTGGGTTTTTTTTTCCAAAGGACTGTAATCTTTGAGCCCTGAGCAAAGCCAGCAGTCAACATAGATACTGCTGTTCTTGTAGGGGAAAAAAATCTTTGTTTAAAAGAGATGCCAATCTCCTGATAGCCTTGAGCCCATGGACTTGCTCTAGGTCTGTTTAGTTACTGAGATGCTTTCACTGCTGGAATCGGAAGTCTGCTTCTGTACCCCAGCAGCCTCCTGTAAAATCATCAGAATGATTTCATGCCAGTCCTACTGGGATAGCAGCTGGGCAAGGCCCACCACTGAAACAGAACAGTGATCTTATCCCATTTGTCCTTCTGGGCAGGTTGTTTTTAAGTCCTAATGTTCCATGGTGAGGGGAGTGAGACCCACAGTCTTGGGGCTACCGGCCCTCCTCTCTCAAAGTTTTACCCATCTTTACAGGGTCAACTGGAGGCTTGCATGTTGCAAAGAAAAAAGAGTACTGAGGAAAAGGATTGAGGAACACCCTCTCACCTGACAGGGGCTCCCCGCGACTGAGCAGGCTTTAGCATCACCGTGATGGTCGTGTCCGTCTCATTCAGTGGAGTGTCTGTGTCATACTCAGGCATCGAAGGAGCTGGGTGGAGAACAGAGAGAGGAGGTAAACTTTGTGTTAGCACCACAGCCCATCACTACCTCTTAAGGCTATCCCTAAAAACTCTCAGAATAACTTGAAGGAGGACATTTGGGAAGGGGGAAGATGAGGAGCAAATGGTATTGCAGATTTTTGACAGAGGAGTCCCTGAATTCCAACCCACCACCAGGCACCTACATGGTAGGAAAGACTGTGGAGAAGGAAGGCAATGATGTAACCAGTAAGTCTCATGACTCCAAATGTCCCACAGCAGACAGATAATGCAGAAAATTTAAGTCCTGAAACTGAGATGTGAAAACTGAGTGAACTTTGTTCAACACATATATAATGCAAACAACAGCAGTAATTAATAAACTGCTTCATCTTATTAATTTTCATGGGACAACCTCCCACCACCTCAACCCCAAACGAAAGGAGTACAACTGGATCCAATCCCACGAGAAGTCATTTAGCCATTTGTATTAAGAGGTATTAAAACTCACAGTCCTTTTAATTTGGTACTCCAGTTCCTGATACTTAATTCTAAATTAATAATCCAGACCAATGAATTAAACTTTATTAGTAATATGTCTATTGAGGCATTATTTTAAAGAGACGTGGAAAAACCTCACCAACCACGGGGAGTATTTAATTAAATTAGGTCCATCCACTTGACAGAACATTATAATGAAAGCCATGTAGTAATGTGGAAAAATGCTTATGGCATGGAGGCTATATGAAAACATGAAAATACAAAACCCACCATGAGGCTGTAGCTATGCAAAATATGAATGTATGTATGTAGAGCAGAACTGGCTACGAGTCTCCTGAAAAAAATGCGAATTTCCAAAAGAGTTCTGAAATTACTCTGCTTTGAGGCGGAATCTGATGGCAGAGGGTGTCCCACTGGTGACAAGGGAAAATATTGAGTGGCTATGGTTCTGCAACGTTCACTCATTCATTTATTCATCAGCTATTTTGAGAGAATATGCTCCAGAAGGAACTCTGAAAGGAATATCCTTGAAAACAAATTACATTTTTAGAAATCAATTTGTATGGAAAGAAGCACTGTTTAATGCAACAGTATGGTAAATGATTTGCCGAATCACTCAGCATTTCCTGTGGCCTTGCCCAATTAATGTATTTTTAATACCTTATGTATTAGGTTCAAGACAAATGGTCCCACACCCACGGACTGACTAACCCTAACTGCCCTACACCCTGGAGGAAACTGCTCTGCCTTTTCCGTCCTAGGAAAATCTGGAAGAGGAAATGTCACTGATCTTCTTCTACCCATCTAAGAGAGATACCTGAAATTTTGGTGGCGATCCTGGTGGTGACGGGAGGACCAAAGCCCTTTGCTGTGCTGGCCTTGATGGTGAAGGAGTAGGTGGTCCCTGGGTAGAGTCCCACAAACAAGTGGTGGGTTTCATTTCGGAGCTTGAACACCTTCCCCCTCTGGCTGGACAGATCGGCACTGGGGTCTAGGGAGCCAACAGCTTTGTAGTTGATCTGCAGAAACCAAGAAACAGACAAATAAATGTCTTACCCGGGGGTCTCATTGGAAAGCACACAGGGAATAAAAAGGGAAACACATGAGTTTGGTTTGAACTTTAGTTATTATTGCCTCTCTAACAGACTATCCTCATCTACCAAGCCCTCCTCTGCCAGTGCTATAAAACACCAATGTCCACCAGAAATAGAATCCAAGCCACACACAAACTTTCCCATCTCTGAATGATCATATTAACAGAAAATAAGAGAGTAAGCTCAATTGTTATAATATTGCTGCATCCAGTGTGATTCCAATGTGCAATCAATGTAATATTTGATATGGTTTAATATCTAAATTAATAGTAAGTCTTAGAAACCTTGTATGTATTTTATTCTTTTACGGCACATCTCCCTTTCAACAACTAACATTTCAAAAGGACAAAGGCCCCTGTGGCTAGTGACTCTCACACTGGACTGTGCTTCTCTAGTGGATTTGAAAAACTACTCACAAATGCAGACCATGGGTCCTAATTAATTATATAGAATGGAATAGGCATGAACCATTCAGAGTCTGGGAAGGGGCCCAGGCAGTGAAGGGGGACCTGGCCCATTTAAGCATGACTGTAGCCATCCATCACCCAGAGGAAACTACCCCTTTAAGCCAAAGAATTAAAATGGGCCATTCACTGCTTGTGAACTTTCCACCAATCACAACTGCAGTGGCTGAAAACCTCATTTGCATAAGACGGCCCCAATGGTAACTGCCTATTCCTCCACTAGAAGCACAACCTGGTTACTCCCATTCAATGTGCAAATGCTTCTGGATCTGTGCTCCAAGGACTGAAGTTCTGAAGCCCAGAATCAATATTCAGTTGTAACCAGCAGGCTGTACTGTAACATGTGGGCTCTACTACTGGAACTTATTTGCTCCCACTGTAACACAGCTGCTGCAAGCCCACCAGACTTGGGGTTGTCTGTCAATGAGTCACCTTTTTTATGTTTTGTTTTCTTTTAGCCACACCCAGTGATGCTCAGGGATTACTCCTGGCTCCGCACACAGGAATCACTGCTGGCAATGCTCAAGGGGGAACCAAATGAGATGCTGGGGATCGAAACCAAGTTAGCCACATGCAAGATACCTTACCTGCTATACTATCTCTCCAGCCCTGTTCACTATTCCACATGAAAACTGTTCTTGTATGGCATTTCCTCCTTCCTTAATTTTTCTTCTCCCCAAACTTTGGGGTCATCAGGATAGTTGCTCTAATGTGAACAAAATCAGGTTCCACTGGAAATAGCTTTCATGAAGTCACTGCCTTCACACTACCTGGGGAAGGCCCAGATTTGTGTCTTCTAAGCCATGGAATATTTCTAATCACCCAGAGGCTCTACTACACGTGACACATTATGTATATTTTGCAGTAACCAACCTGGTCTATGCCCTGCAGTGACAGGAGTTCATGGATCATGCATAGACAGGTATGACACAGCAATGCCAAAAGTGCTCTAAACTTTTTTAAGACCCACTCTCAATTTCTGATCCCACCCTTCTGTAAAAGCATCAAAACACTTGGTCTCAGACACTGGTCCCCAGTCATTTAGAAATGGAGCATCCTATTTCTAAATATCCCACTTGCAAATGCAGTAAAGGGAGGATTATTAAAAGTTTGCTCCATCGAGATTCATGAAAGCTGTTTTATTAGAGTATATTACATGTGCAGAAAACTAAACAGCTAGATCAATGTTTACTAAACGAACACAACTTTTATAATCAGCATGCAACCAAGAGATGAGACACCACCAGATCCGAACCTCTCTTCATACTCCTTCCCGTCTCTGCGTGTCCCCAACTCCAGTCAATCTAACACCTATCCTGACTTGTAACAGCATAGACTAGTGGTGCCTGCCTTTGAGCTTTATATAAATGGAATCATACAGAGTGCACTGATTCCTTTCATTCAACGTTATGCTCATGAGATTCATGCAGGCTGTCATGTGGCACTGTAGATCATGCATTCTTATGGCCATTCAGCATTCTATCACTTACATGGGGCTACACCCAGGTCTGTGTGACTTCAAAGTCTGTGCTCTTTCTACAACAAGTTCTGCCTTACTTGGAGTCACACTTCACTAACTGAAGACTGTGTACATGCGTTCCCTTCCAATCTGCTCCTTTGCCATTATTTGTTGTGTCTTCATATTAGAATTTCCTGTATTATAGAATTTATTTTGAGTGCTGCAGAGAGGCACACATGAACCCAAGCTGAACCCAGTCTTCAAGTGGCTTACATTCCAGAACTTTGTTCCATCTTATTGGATCTGTTCCAATGCTGGAGTGGAGGGCTGACTCCAGCAGGAAAGGGAAGACATTGACTTTACCTCAATCACAGACTTGGTGTTATTTCTGTCATGGTCACTTAACATGGCAGGGAAGAAGATCACATCTTTCTCCTGTATTAAGCAGCTTCAGTTTTGTTTGCAGCACATGCTACAAGCACAGCAGAAAGGCTAGAATGTACCTTGAGCAAAGTGAGCCCTGAATGAAGAGCAAGGGGCACTTTGCAAGCCCATCCTGGGCAGGGCACCCATCATGTAGGTCCCTGAAGGGCTTTGCCATAGGGTTCCCTCTGGGCACCCCTGGCCATGCCTGTCCTTCTCTGAGTCAAGCACTGGAAATGTCTGCTTCTCTGCAAGAGCCCTACATGGTCCTTGCAGGCATCACTTGTTAATTATCATGCCCAGGGACAGGACTGCCATGGACAGAGCATGTCCAGGTCCTCAGCTCCTTTTGTGATACCTCTCAGCATACATCCCAGGGGACCCCCCTTGTAGCACCCAAAGACTGGAGAGCATGACGGTCACTAGCTGCTTTCCTTTATTCATCTCATCCCACTGCTGGTATTCCTAAACTTCTCAGTTACCTGCTTTGCTCTGATTCAGTTCCTCATCTCAGGGTCTGCTTCTGAATATTAGTCCACAGAGACCAAGAAGGCGATCAGGGTGGCATCTTGGGGCAGTATTGACCCGGCATAAAGGATGTTAGGGAGTCAGAGACCAGCCCAGGGAAGAAAGCTCTAGCTTAGGCAGAGGGGAGCTCAAAGGCTCATGGGAACAGAGGATGGTCCAGGGTGACAAGGTTGCAATTAAAGCAGAAGGGAGATGTTCATAGAGCTTTGACTGTGACCAGGATGCTTCACGTACCTAGGAGAAAACATCCTCATGCAGCCTTTTGTGATTCTGTTCCAGTTCCTGCCTGGCTAGGTGGCAACTACATTGATATACAGACGCTAGGAGGTAAAAACTCATCCCTTATTTACTAGCCAATTCCTTTCCTCCACTCCAAATTCAATCCAAGAGCGACTCAATTTCCACTGGGCTGTCAATATAATATACCGTGCTCCCCTGCTCTCCTAACCTTTCCTGGTATTACAGGAGCCTCACTTACTTGTAATGAAACACTATGAATAAATCAATGTATGTTAATATAGCGTGCCTTCAATTTTTTATGAAGGGCTTCACCAAATCTAATTCCCACTGCTTTGTCAGAAGCAGCCTTTGAAAAATTTAACTTGCAAGTTTTACGAAGTTAGTGGGGAATTGGGTCGGGTAGGGAAGAGAAGGAAGGTGAGAAAAACGGAGTGGGATGGAGCTGCGGCCACAACATGCCTATTGCCATGGATGTCTTGGTTTGCAACGGGGCAAAGAGGAAGATGTGCCTGAACAGCAAAGGTAGAGTTAGAAAGTGTGCTGAGCTGCATGTCAACCTTGGGCTTTGAGGACTGAGGAAAGCTGCAACAAAGTTCTCAGGGGTCCCTTTCACTGTTTCAGTGGGATGCCAGGCATTGGCCAGCTGGAACAATCCATAATGTGAATTCAACCAAGTTACTCACCAATTAGCATCCAAAGAGCCACTGGTCCCAGGCCCAAGAGTCCAAGATACCTTTCTCTCCCCTTTGTTATTATTATCATTATTGTACCATATGGGCTGGAGCAATAGCACAGCAGGTAGGGTGTTTGTGTATGTGGTCAACCTGGGTTCGATTCCTTCACTCCTCTCAGAGAGCTCGCAAGTTACTTAGAGTATCTCATCCGCATGGCAAAGCCTGGCAAACTACCTGTGACATATTTTATATGCCAAAAACAGTAACAACAAGTCTCACAATTTGTTGTGAGACATTATTGGTGCCCGCTCGAGCAAATCAATGAACAACGGGAGGACAGTGCAGTGCTGTTATGCCATGCAGGGGTGGCACACTTGGAGATCAGACACTTACTGTGCTGCTGAGTGCCACTCTGCCACTGTGCATGTTCCAGACCCTTGGATCTCACAGTAGGGCTGTGGTTTTCATCAGTGCATGCAGGCACTGCCTCCCTGCCCTCTCTCTTGCATGCTAAGCTTTATTTAGAATAAATAAGCTTTATTTATTTAATAGCTGAAAGAAGCCACTGGGCCTTTGCATTGCTGCAACATCAAGTTGGGTACTCTTTCTTCCTCTGGCTTCCAATTCATAGTGAATGACCCCACATCCTGAGCTCTGGCACTTTTCTTAAGTACCTCCTGTGACCCTCTGGTCCTCCTAATTTTGCATTGTTTTTGGGGCTTCCAAATATATAAGTATATACACATATATAATTTATTTAATGAGTTTCTTTTCTACCAGTTCAGGGAATGAAAAAGTAAAGCCTGAAAACTCATCAACTATTGTAAAGAAAGCTTTATTAGAACATGGTACCACCATCCATCAATGCATTGTCTAGTACTGCTTTCACACTACACCTGCAAAATTAAGTGGCTGCAGAGGAGTCCCCATGGTCCTCTCAGTGTAAACTATTTAATCTCCGCCCTCTCTAGAAAATGTTTGCTGATCCCTGGAGGGCAAGATTCTAAGAGGGCAAGGATCTTATCTTGGTGTTGTTCTACCTTTCATCCCTATGAACATATCAAAGAATGTTTTCCCTAGCTGTGTGACATAAACAATATCCTTAACCTCCCTGAACCTCAGTTCTTGAAAGATGAA